TGAAATTGGGGGAAATGAGGATTCCTGTCCCTTTCCCGGTTGGAATTTGGGGGATTCCTGCCCCTTTCCTATCTGGAATTTGGGGGGGATTCCTGCCCCTTTTCCCACCCTTTTCCCTGCCCCCTTTTCCCGGCAGGACAAAGCCCGGAGCGAGGGGCAGCGGCTGGTTTGGGAATCGGAGGAATTGCGGCGCTTCCTGCGGGAGCAGGAGCGGCTCCTCCTGGCCCGGCTCGGGGACCTGGCCCGGGACGTTCGGCGGGCCCAGGACCGGGCCCTGGCCAAGGTCCGGGAGGAGTTATCCCACCTGGACACGCTCATCTGGGAGATGGAGGGGAAATTCCAGCAGCCCCCGGGCCAATTCCTGCAGGTGGGAATTCCCGGGATTGGGGGGGGGGGAGGGAAAACAGGGGGGAAAAAAGGGACAAAAACCCCAGAGCTGGGCCCCCAAATTTATCCCCTGGGAGTGTCCCCAGCCGGGCGGGACGGGGATAAGTCGGATCTGGAAGGTTCCCTCCGGATCCAAACCGGGCCGGGATTCGTGGATTTGAGGATTTGGTGAGGATTTGATGGTTTTGGTTCCTCCCCCTTCCCCACTTTTTCCTCTCTGTCCCCACCTTTAGGACATCGGAGGACTCCTGGACAGGTAAATTGGCCCTTCCCCCCCCTTTTCCCAACCTCTGACACCCCCCAGGTGGATCCCGAGGAATCCCGGGGGTTGGGGGATCAAATCCCACCTTTCCCTGCTTTGGGGGGCTCAGGAATTGGGGAGAGGGGGAGGGATCAAATCCCACCTTTCCCTTCTTTTGGGGGCTCAGGAATTGGGGGCCTGGGGAGGGAAACCACCCAAAAAAAGGGCAGGAAAAGGGGATTTGGGATGAGAATCCTCAGCTCAGCCTCCAACCGCCTCCCGGGGGGTTTAATGGGGATAAAATGAGGTGTCAAAAGGGGGGGGTTGGGCCATTTTTGGGGCCTTTTTTGGGGCCTTTTGGCAGCTGCGAGGCCATGAAGTTCAACCCCCCGGCTGAGATTTCCCCGGAGCTGGAGGGGAGGCTCCAGGAGTTTGTCCAGAGGAACGTCCTGGTGAGGGGAACCCTGAGGAGATGCCAAGGTATCCACAGGGGGGCTGGGAATCTGGGAGAAATTGGGGCTGGGAGTGGGAAATCTGGGAGAAATGGGGGTTGGGAGGGGGAAATCTGGGAGAAATGGGGTTATTTTGTGGGATATCCAGGAGAAATGGGGTCCTTGAGTGGGATATCTGGGAGAAATGGGGTCATTTTGTGGGATATCTGGGAGGAAAAGGGTCCTTGAGTGGGATATCCAGGAGGAAAGGGATAAAGGTGGGATAACCCCGCCCCTGATCCCTGGAATCTCTCCCTGTTCCCCAGACAGCCTCATGTTCCAGCTGCAGGAACCAGGTGAGTTCATGGTGGGAGTGGGAAAGGGGGGAGGTCTGGGGGGCTCCTGGGAGAGATTCCCGGCGGGAATTCCCTGCCCCTCTCCCCCATCCCAGGGAATTCCAGGCTCCAGGGAATTCCCGGCTCCTCCCCCTGCGTCCGAGCGAATTCCCTGCTGCTCTCCCACATCCCAGGGAATTCCTCACTCCTCTCCAGTCCAGGAGGGAATTCCCTGCTCCTCTCCCCCGTCCCGGGGAATTC